AGTTACAGCTGGCACAGAGTCCCTTGGTTGGCTATGCTGAGCAGGCGATGACATCGGTGGAGGACTACGCCGTACCAATTGGCTAGTACCAAAGGGGCTACCTCCTGTGTTAGACATACTGACACAGACACAAATTGTCAATAAACGAAACTATATACTTAGTTCATTTTTCATAAAAAGTCATTAGTCACACTCGATATTACTCAATATTACAGACTTAACAATAATCAAAGTCGCATAATTCGCGATTATTAATATTCTATGATGAGCACAATAAACACGTCTGCTTAGTATCGATACACCATTGACAATCTAAGATTCCAGGTTGCCTAGAAGTCTCGCTAGCATAAATATTTTTTTTTTTATATTAGGTGTGACTGACTTTTGACCAGTATCTCGCCTGGTGGTAAGCGATGATGTGGCCTACGATGGAGCACGTCGACCCATAAGCAACGTATTCACTCGGGCCTTGAAGACACCCAGCTTGTACCCTTCAGGTAGTACAGACTCTGGCAAAGAATGTCACTCCTTAGCAGTACGCACAAGGATGCTTGTTACGAAGCGCTTCGTGCGTTTGGGTGGGACATCTACGATAAATCGGTTACGCTTCGCCGATCGTCTTGTGGTACGACGATGGAAAGGACTAGGGGGAATCAAGTTGTGCAATAAATACTACAAATAACAACAACTACATTAAATATAAACTGTTATTTTATTCTATATTGTAATATAATATAATAATATCAGTATGTAAATAACTTAAATTAAAACATTAATATACGGTTCAACTTATAACAGATAAGAGTGATTGTGTAATCAAAAAGATTAGTTATATTATACCTACGTAAGATAATTTCTTTAAAAACTTGAACCATGTATAAATTGCATCTACAACAAATTTCACCTAAATAATATTAGATTACAAAAAATGAGTTCGAATTAAGATTTTTTGAAGTTGGTTAATTTCGACCTGAACATAATCGAAACTTAGGGTAGCGCTGAAGGTTTTTATGACTGACTAATCTCAATATCTTGTGTTTTTTTTTTTTAAACATTTCCCCACACTAAGATTTTCTCCTATATCGTGGGTACGTTTACAAACATACAAGTTCACATACTCAATGACACCCAGACCCGAAACAACAATTTGTGGATCACACAAAGTGTTGTTCCGTGCGGGGATCGAATCCGCGACACGTTGCACGGCAACCGGTTGCCTGGCCACCGCACCAACCGTGCAGTCGTGTTTGTCAATGACATGTGGCAAGAGTTGCGCCCAGTAAACTATATTTATGGGCCCCTAGCGTGGCTTGAAACAAGTTGAGGAAACTTTGTTAGCGATCAAAAAGATAAAAGAATTTGTTAAAAAAAATATAGGAACTTTTTAGCATCATACCTGAACACATGATTACAAACAAATTTTCTTTTCGATTACACAAATCGCTCATAATAATTAACGGAAAAAATGTATTTACTATTTAAAATAGCTTATATATATAAATATTTAGAATCTATATTATATAAACTACAACTGTAGGACGATTTTTGTATATTGCACAATATTTTACAACCTTAACAATATTTTTAAAACAATTAACGGTAAAATAGAGTGAATAGAAACAAAAGAGGGGTGAATAGATATTAGGAAATTCTCCATAGTATCGATTCACCCCTCTTCTGTCTCTATTCACCTCTCGATCCCAATTCACCTCGTTTTACGGTAACAAATTTTTTAAAACAAGGATTATGATGTTTTTGTATAATTACTATCGTGACGCTTTTTTGTGATGATCAGAGGGATCTAATGAAGTATCAGGTTTATAGTCACTGAAAGTTAGCTGTCAAAAATCAATATTGGACAAACAGGACCTCAGGCCACATTATAGCGTCACCTGGGTGCTTACTCTTGAAACCAATCTCGATGTCAATACAACTTCAATCCAATAAAATCTCAATAATAATCCAACGACAAAACTATACAACTCCTATCGCTGTTATAGTAGCGTTCAGAGTACGGAATACAAAAGCCAAACTCAATACCATATAGGTCATTAAATATCCACGCAATACAGATATAATAAGCGCTAGTGTAGCACCTCAAGAGAACGAAATTTTACTATATCAATGTCGATCAAACGGAATTGGATTCAAGATAAGCCCCCTGATTAGATAAAACATTGTAGCCCTTAGGCCCTCATAAAAATAAATGGTTTCCGCGCGTGAACTATTCGAAAAAGGCTCGATTGGTTTAAAGTCATATGGGACTAAATTAGCGGGGTGCCGCAACTTGAAACAAGTGGGGCTTTCCTCAAATAGTACCCAGGGCCGTCTTAGACTCAGCTGGGGCTCTTGAGGACACATTAAATCGGGGTCCTTTTGGAATGATTTTTTAACGTTGTTTTTCTCCTGTCGTGGATGGATTACAAACACGCAAGTTCACATACACATGACACCCATACCCGAAACAACAATTTGTGGATGACACAAAGATTTGCTCCGTGCGGGAATCGAACCCGCTACACGTTGCAGGGCTGGTTGCCCGGAGTGCCCGTGTAGAAATTGTCAGTCTTTCGGGGCTCCTGAGGTGAAGAAAGTACTGTTACGTGAGTAGACAGTATATAATATATCAATGAAGGCTACCGCGAGTGAATTTACAGCCAGGATCACTAGTGTTACGAGCTCACTTAACCAATAATAGGCATGGCGACTATTTTTTAATTTTTTGTCCGTCTTTTAGATATTTTAAAAATCTTCGATACGTATTTTTTCTTTTTTCTCGTATCCAAAAAAACATGTAGATATTTTGAGTTAAAATGACGCGTGACGTCACACTTAGGTACGATTTCTCCGTAAGTGTGACGTCAACACCCCCCACTCCCTAACTTTAATGCGGAATAACTACGTATTCTTCTGTTAATTTGATAAAACAAAAAATACGTGTCTGATATTTTCGTGCGATCTTAATGACGGACTAATTACTTTTTTATTTTTTTACCCTGTCGACACGCCTATTATTGACTAATAGCTTCTGCCCGCGACTTCGTACGCGCAATCTCGTTTTCTCCCGTTCCCGTAGGATTTTCAGGTTTTTTCAAGTCATAAGAACCTTCTCCTTCTAAATTCTTTCTTCTCTTCCCTAATAAAATAATTACTGAAATCGGTCCAGCCATACATGCATGAATCCGTGACCAAGGGAAAAATGGATTCATATATATAGATATGCAGATACTGGACAATACATTTTTGACAGCTGCAGTGACATATGAACTGACGCTATATTAGCACCATTTGGTTAGCAGCAAACATGAACAGTCAGGTTCAAGCTCTCGACTCCATATTGGGACCAAAAATGGGAGACCATTACTTGAGTAAAATACAGGTAAACTTATACACCGTATTTCGTTTTCGACCCGCGGCAAAATAACATGCCATAAGCTGCACTTTCGATGTATACAGTAAAACAAAGGTGGATTTGTTTTTTAACATTCGCATATGAGGCAGTAGATGTGAAAAACCAAGTTTTACCATCATCAGAAAATAAACCAGTATTTATTTACCATGTCTAATAATATGATGCCTTGATCACATCTGCTTTCTTCATCGGTCACGAATGCTATAACCGAGCGATAGTCCCGAGTCAGGCTGTTGATGACCAAAACTCAAGACCAAAGTAACGAAACCATAAAATGCATATTCATTAATTTAGTTCAATTTTTATAACTAGATGGCGTTGCCGCGATTAAAAGCAAGCTATGGTTTCGTTACATCAACTTGCATAAGATGGTCATTTTTTTGTATGTACCGAGATCGAACCAAAACGAATATATAAACCAGCAGTTCAAGCACTAATTACGGAGTTTCAATTTAACCCCTATTAGTAGCTACAGTAGGTCAACGTTACTTCGGTAATAAACACAGGCAAAGAATAATAAATATATTTTGTTTACTTTTAAAAATTCGAATACCTTAAATTACTTTGCCCAGTCCGATAATGGAGCAACTTGATCAAAGAGGCATATAAAACGTAAAAACATAAAAAATATAAACTATTTTTGTTCTGCGGTTTAACTGCTTTGTAGACAACTTACAACGATTTTATTTGTTTGATACATTCGGACTATATAAAAAAGTATATATAGTACCTAGGTACCAAGTAATTTCAAGGCTTATTTGACAGAGACCGGGCAGCAGCGCTCTCGGATAAACCCGAACCTTTTATACTGCTATCTCCTACCTGCCAGCGGAGATTATGGCAAACCCTCTTATGTAGAGGAGGTTCATAGTCCATTAAATACATTTTAATTATTGTATAATATAACATAACATAACATCACGCCTTTTATCCCCGAGGTGTACATTATACCACTGTACAATGTAACAGCCACTTTTCATTATTTATGTTATGAGTCCCATGTAATAGGGGGTGAGTCTATTGCCATATACCGGGCACAATTCCAGACTCCGTGCTACTACTGAGAATTTTTAAAAACCCAGTAATACTTCGCCCGACCCGGGAATCGAACCGGAGAAGCAAGTGCGACAACTCGGCCAGCGACGCAGATAGTTATTGTATATAATATAATTAAATTATTTATATAATGAATAACTTACTTATGAACTAGCTAAAATATACCTAAATATTTATAGGTACGTACATTATATTAAACAATAATATATTTAACTATATTTAATTCTAAAAAAAATCACAACACGTCAGACGTGCAATATTTCGAAAAACAAATTCATGTTTTTTTTTTGTTTAATAAACTTGAATATATTGCTTTTCATGAGTGGTGTATAAAATTTTCAAATTTTCCGTAAACAGAGGTAATCCTTAAGGCAAACTAGACAAGTGCCGGGCGCCAGGGCCTTTAGCCAAACGCCACTTTAGCGCTTGTCTACAGAGGGAGAGTAGATAACTAAATGTATGGGGATGGCACTGACAAGTGTCAAAATTTACGTCAATCCCATATAATTTAGTTTTCTATTCTACATGTAGACAAGTGCTAAATGGCATTTCGCTACAGCTGCTGGTTACAGAGGGCCGCCACGAGACGCGCGGGCACAACTGCCTATAGAACATGACGGCGGGGACAAAACAATTCGGGGCGCCAATGAGGTGCTTCCTTAGGGCGCTCTCTTGGTTCAACCCGCCTCTGGTCGTAAGAATAGACTAATTGATGCATTAACGAATACAAACCAGTAACGACAGCCTAAACTAATTAACGATTACTATTCAAACTAAAATAACCTTTATCACATGACATATAAAGTCGAAATCTAAACAAATAACATAGCTACACTGTAAAATAAACTCTAACTACGTAAAAATAAAGTTGAAATTTCAATTAAAATCACAATTAATTACTAAATTCATTTAAATAGAATGCAAAGGTGGAACTACACGGTCATCCAAGTCCGGTTTTCTTTCATGTACCTTGAGGTGACCCTTTAGAGTGCATTTTTGAGTGAAAGCCCTACCGCAGACTGGACAAACGAACCGCTTATCATTATTATGAATCCTAAGATGTTCCCTAAGAGTCTTCTTTCTTTGATAAGACTTCTGACAGACCGGACAAGTATGAATCCGTTCCCCATCGTGCTTAATCATATGCATTTTTAAAGCGTTCTTCGTATAAAAAGCCAAATCACACTTATCGCATTTATGATTACGTTCATTTAAATGGTCTCTTCGCACATGACTTGACAGGTGACCCGGTGTTATATAGCTCTGCGGACAAGCTTTACACTTGTATCTTTTCAGCTCTTCGTTATGAACTTCAGCCAAATGTTTCTGCCTAGCGTAGAATGAAGTTAAAGATATATTACAGCGTTTACAAGCATACCTGATACCGGACTTGTGTTCCTTTGAGACATGGTTCTCTCGTTTAGTTACTCGGTCAAATGTAGCGTTGCAATACTTACAAGGAAAACTGCCTACTTCATGCGTCCTCATGTGGCCACGCAGCCTCGCTTTGGAGGCGAACGCCTTCCCACAATTCTCGCAAATATAATTTGGATAATGTACATTCATGTGAGTGTTTAGACTTACATAGTTTAAAAATGTTTTCTTGCACACCGGACAATCTAATTGGTCCTTTTCTAATTTAAAGGGCAAGTTGTTCCACCTTCGGTTTGAGAATTTCAATCTCGTACAATTCTCGACATGTTGCCGCAACTCGTCGTAAGTGGCGACATCTGTCGTGCATATTTTACATCGTAACTTCGTACCGGACTTGTAAAATCGCTGGGAATTTGAGAAAATCATTTTTTTAAACGCCATGTGTAGGTTCGTTTTGTTATGATCAATAACATGGACTTTTATATCGTCTAAATTGGTCGATTTCTCAGGACATATGGAACATGAAAAAGTGCGGTTTTTACGTATTTTGAAGGGGAACAGCCCGGTTTTCAGCATAGATTCCGTTTCTGTGAAATCGTGATGTTTCTTGCCGGTACATTTTGTTATTTTCTTTACTGATCTACTGCGAGTTTTTCTTGTACATTCGTCTGGCTCACTTTTAATTTCGGCTTTAATTTCTGTAAAACAAATTATAGTTATTAGTTTAGTCATTTAGACTGAGTTGTTGGATGAGAGGTCACAAGTAAGTGTGGGCTCGCTATGCTTCAGCACGAGTGGGCCGGCACGACCGGAGTGTTACCATGGCTTCACTGAAAACCGAAATGAAACAAAGACTTGCGTTGTGTTTCGTCGTGTGAGTGAGGTTACCGGAGGCCCAATTACCCTCCCCTTCCCCAATCTCCCCAACGATCCTCAAACTCCTAATCCCCGAAATGACGGTAACGCACTTGTAACGCCTCTGGTGTTCGAGGTGTCCATGGGCGAGGCCGATTGCTTACCATCAGGTGATCCGTCTGCTCGTTTACCGGATTAAGCCACAAAAAAAAAATGAATTAATGACTTACTTGGGTCATCATCGTCATCGTCATCATCAACATCAACATTGTGGAAGTCATCATCAAAGTTCGCGTTGATACTCAGTTCTGTTTTAACTCCATCATCAGTAGAATGGTTCTCTTCTTCTGAAATAAAGTAAAAATTAGAATAACATACAGTAACTGTCAAATAACTGGGACTCGTAACATTGTAGCGAGTAAGCAAGTCCACTCGCACGATGCAACGCAGCACTGGATCATACGATATGACGTCAGAGCGGGCCGTGTGCAAAAACCGGTCGCAAAGATCCGCCCACTTCTCACCGCTAGCCGCACCTCTTAGACATGGCGCCTGCGCATCCTTTTGTGCGAGTACTGATGACGACAAGATGGCCGCGCAGTACCTATTGTCTGCACTATCGAGGGGGCGTTGACCTCTCGCACGAAACGGTCAAGTGCGAACCGTTATTATTATTATTTAGCTTTTGTAATCAATATAAATATGTGTGTATTTCTGTATAATTATTGATTCTCGTTTCTTACCTCCTTGGTGCAAGTAAACGCTGTTACTTTCGCTTTGCTTTTTATTGCTACCGCTTGATACCAAACTGCTTCAACCTCTGCATTACGTTATTATTGCAAGTAGTACTATATATTTATTTATTATAACGGAGTACAGTACTACTTCAACATAAATAGTGAAAAGTGGGTGTTACATTGTACAGTGGGATTAAGTGCCGTAATGTGCACCTCTGTCTACCCCTCCGGGGGTAAAAGGCGTGATGTTATTTTATGTTTGTAACTGTCAATATGTGCTAATGGCATAAATGTAGGAATAACAGTAACTGTGTATGGTAATAGCAACATGAGGAAATGTGTATTCAGAAATATGTAGATATAGAAAATAACCAATTAAATTAACTAAAATCACGGGTTGCTCACTCAGAGTGAGCTGCACGACGTCGCCGCGACCGCGCACGCTGCTCATGAGGAAGAACCCCTCTGTGTTTCGAAACTAGTAGAGCTTTTCTCAGTATATTCACGTCAGTAACCCGCGATTTTAATTAATTTAGTATGTCTCACGGTAGTTATTATAAAAATAACCAATTAGCTTTTGGACTATTGTAGGCTCTATTGGAATCGGCCAACGTAGCAAGGGATGAGGCGTCAGCACACATAAATGTCCTATAGTCGGCGGCGCTGTGTGTTGAGTTGTTCCGTTCCCAATAAAAAGTTTATCCGGACCAATTGCTGATACACACATCATAAACGGGTGCTTTCTGCTGGGTCAGGTCGGCTCTCCCATTGTGTTGGTGGGCTGATTTCATAGAGCCGTCGAAATAGATATAAATGGATAATAGCTAATTATTATTTTAAGCTGATAATATATTATTTTAATAAGCTGATAATAGTAATTTTAGTAATAATTATAGATGTGGTTAATTGTAATGTGTAACTACCTAGATACCTTCTTTACTTTATAATAATTGATTAGACATATTGTAATAAAAAATTGTACGACACCCTGCCGCGGACCAAAAGTAGGTGGAGAATGAATATGTACCATTAAAAAATGTAGGAATGGGTTTTGTTGTATAATCACTGCAGCTGTCAAATATTGACCGTCCAATGCGGGTGACACTCGCTAATTTCCTATTGAACGAAGAACGAGAGGTGCACACTAGCGACATCTGGTGAGCAATAATACGGTAGGCCCCATTTTCAAATAGAAGAGTCATGCTTCAACACAGATGTATAATGTATATATTGATCGGAGTGTTACCACGGCTTCACAGTACGCTGGCGTAAAACAACGCTTGCATTGTGATTAGTAGTACAAGAGGCCTAATCCGCCTCAAAAGCCAGGCATCGCATATGTCACAGGTCACAGGTATGTCACAAGTCCATAAGCATAAACTTTTCTCATACATACTCTGAACTAAGGCATGTTTGGCATTTGTGGTAGTAGGGACACGCTTACATATAAGGTGTTGTTTTAAAGCCGCGTCATTTTCTAGGAGGTAACTCGGATATCGATTCTGAGTCTGAATCAATAAAAAAAAATTGTTTTTTTCTGAAATTACGGAAATCCGTAAGTGCAAAATACACGCCACCGTCTTGTAACTAGCTTTATAACGTGGCTTAACACACACAAACTCAAACATGTAATTGATATTATTCTTAATTCCATAAAACTCCAATAAGAAACATTGCTGTCGCTTATTCTGAAATACTGTCGAACTTAAACGATTTATTATAGGCGTATTTTTAACTATTGGCCCGAAACTTTCTCTTACATTGAACCATTATGACTTCTGTGACATGCCCAGAAATGACACGGTTTCAAAACTACACCTTGTATAAACTTCTAAGGTGGGATTTGAATCAACTTTGACAACCTTTGACTCAGTACTATTTTATTATTTACAGTCTCCTTGCCAAGGAAAATGCAACCTTATTTCTTTACAACTTACTTTGTAATTTGTATGTATTTTCCAACGTATTGAGTGACACTTCTACGAGGTCTTTGAACAGCACACAGTCTCGCAGTCTGGTTATACAGAATTCACAGATTAAGCGCTTCGTATCACCTAGTTGTAGGATCGATACCTGGAATTCAGAAAAAATGTTATAAGATAAAAGTGCTTTGTTGTACTTTGACCATTATGTTAAAAGCATTAAGGTTCAAATTCATGTAATAGTTTAAGGGAAAGTAATAGAGTTTATATTAAAAAAACTAGGACATATATAATCAAACTCATAGATATTTCATGATTATATAAACTACTCCTTAAGGGTCATCCATAAATTACGTCTCACAAATTAAATTGTTAAACACCAAGCGGTCACCGGTGACCGCAACCTATTGTTCTATAATTGTGTCTACAAAACCGGTACTCGACGAGTTAATTTCATGATTTTTTGCCCACCGTCCTTGTCACAGCTAGTCACATTTGTGATACCCATATAGTGACGTCATATTTTGCAGAATTACGTAAAGGTAAAATGGGATGAATTGGGATCAAGATGTGAATAGGGGGACAGAAGAGGGGTGAATTGATACTATGAAAAATTCCCAGTATCGATTCACCCCTCTTCTGTCTCTATTCACCTCTCGATTTCTATCCACCCCTTTTTACGGTATGTACAAAAATTATTGAATGATAACAGCGGTACCGAAATCAGTTTTATTTCTATTTAACTCGTCGAGTACCGTCATTATAGACACAATTATAGAACAATAGGTTGCGGTCACCAGTGACCTCTTGGTGTTTGACAGTTTAAATTACTTTAAAAAAATATTAAAACTAGATCAAACAAAATGAAAATCATTAATACAATTATATTTTACGTTTTATAATAGTTTTTGAAATGTCACACAGTTTATGATCCCTCCCTCCCCCTCGTCACACTTCATCAACCCCCTCCCTACCCCTAAATGTGTGACGTAATTTATGGAAAGCCCCTTAGTAATGATTTTGGTCCGAAAACAATTGCTACAGACTGGATTAGGTAACCATTAACTGACTCTATTTCTTTTTTTAGGGGCCATTACGATACCTATTCTACTTCGAAGTTATAATTAGTAGAAGACCAGGTGAAGTCACCATTAACCATTTTAGAACCGTCATTATAGACACAATTAAAGAACAATAGGTTGCAGTCACCGGTGTCCTCGCGGTGTTTGACAGTTTAACCTTTCGTGAGTCTAAAACACAGATCCACATGAGACACAATGTATATTGTATTATGTCTCATATCAGTGCATTCAAGCGGTAAATGACTCTGAGTATGATGGTAGCAGTGGGTGTATTTATAAAACATAAACATTAATATATCGTAAAATGGGGTGGATAGGGATCATGAGATAAATAGAGACACAAGGGGGGTGAAAAGATATTGGGAAATTCTACATAATATTGATTCACCCCTCTTCTGTCTCTAGTCACCTCTGGATCCTTATTTACCTCATTTTAATGTAGGTACATATCACTTCTCTTGTTTTAAGGTAAATAGTCTATGACCAATATATTTTAAATTATAAATTTTATATACCTGTTTGTTTTATATCTGAACCTGAGATACATTTTGCAGTAGCCAGTTATGCAGCTACTGCACGAAACAAGCAACTACCAATTCATTAGCAGACAATTTTACTAAATATGTATATTGCTTTATTGACAATGATTACAATGAATTAAAAAAGTAATTTTAGTAGAATAATTTAACTAAATAATCATAATAGACTATGGACAAAATGATGATACAGATAGTGATTAATTAACATAACTGGCTATAATAAATAAATATACAGACTCCTCAAGCAATATTAAGCATAAAATTACAATTTTTATAAATTAAAATTCCAGTATGAGTCAAATTAGCGCGAATAATCGCGACTAAAATATTTTCATATAAGATTTTTTTTTCCGGGACCGTAAATTTATCAATTACGTTTCGTTATTGATTGAATTAAAAACTGTTTGGTGTATACTTACGTCTATGGAAAAGCATTTGACCAGCATTTCGGAGTAGACTTCAGATTTTCCATTGTGCTTATGACCAACCAACATACTCTTTACAGCACCTTCGTTTAAACACAAATTGCACATTCCCAGCAAAGGCAACGTTTCAACCATTATTTCCGTATCCATCTTCGATTAGTTAAGTTTGCTTTTACGTCTAAATTATTTCGTTTCTCATTGTATTTTTAATTAAACATCCATGATTTTGTGATGGTCTCGATCTTGTTAGATTTGACAGCAGTTTGACATTGAGATTGAATTGCGTTCCAGGTTCATTTTCATTATTTCAGAAAATTACGAAAATTATGTACCTACGCAAATCTTTTCTTTTTTTGTCTTTATTATCTTATTAACTGAGTTTACATTACAATGTAGTTTTTTTCTACATTTCGATCTGAAAACTGTTTGTTTTGTATTTTCATTGATTGTCGTAATCACGGTTTGACTTTTATTTATCTAATTGACAGTTTTTATTTGCGTTTAGTTTCAATGGTTTCTTTGACTCAAATTATCTTTTCGTTTTAATAGTTTGTAACATTTAAAAAGAACATGAAAAAGAAAGGAAAAGAAACAAGAAATTTGATACTTTATGTACACACACACAGCGGATGTTTTAGATTTAGAATAACTTGATACCCATATGTGTACGTGCAGTGACAAGAACGTTGAAAAAAAGGAGTCATAAATTAGCTAAGATGCCTTTTTTTCAGCCATTGTCGTCCCACAGCAAGACAAAAGGCCTCCCTAGCCTCCTTCTACTACTCTCTATATAATGCTTTTTGCGGCCAATCATGTCATAGATATCTAATTCGTCCCGCCATCTCCTTTGGGCCAGCCGCGACGTCTACTGACGTTGAGTGGGCGCCACTCAGTAGCACTCAGTAGTAAGTTTTGCCCACCGCTCGTCTGACATGCGGCAGATATGACCAGCCCAGTTCAAATTTAAGCCTGCGATTTTATGGGCATGGCATTTCTGTTTAGTTAATGATATGGATCACAAAATGAAACAAAACAATCGTATGATTTATTTTTTATTTACTTAAACGGAAGTACCCGTTATAAACAACAAAGCTAAATAAAATTAACTGACAATAACAACTATTAAAAATACAGACTTAAAAAATAAAAGAACTTAAGCAAACAAAACGAACTAACAAATAAAGATTACTAAAATTCGAATACCTATCGTGGTTGCTTTGCGAGACAAAATTATACAATGACAAAAATATGACACATCCAATGTACTATACAATCACACATAGTTTTGGTCAAAATGTATTTTCTATTGCTAGCTATAATTGATGATCTTTTTTTTTAAACGTTGCCCCACACTAGGAATATCTCCTGTGTCGTGGGTGCGTTTACAAACATACAAGTTCACATACACAATGACACCCAGACCCGAAACAACAATTTGTGGATCAAAGTGTTTTTCCGTGCGGTGATCGAACCCGCGACACGTTGCACGGCAGCCGGTTGCCCAGCCACCGCACCAACCGTGCAGTCAGATGACAGATAAGCGAAATACAGTTTTATCACACACCGGGACATTCATTTACCAAAACATAGGCACAGCTAATTCATATTCGAAGGAATTTTCTTTCACGTACCCTTTGATTGTGGAATGAACTCCCTGCCGAGGTTTTCCCAATAGGCTTATAAATAGGGTTCATCAAGAAAGGAATAAATAGCTTTTTTAATTGTCGGCAAGGCGCATATATGCATATACACATGCCCCAAGTATTGCAAGCGTTTATAGGCCACAGTAACCACTAACCAACGGATGGGCTGAGTGCTTTTTTGCCACCATCAGGATATAATAAAACCATTTAACCCTTACAGAATAGGTACGACCAAACGCGAACGTCGTTACATTCAAACAAAAAAGTTTCATGTTTACAAAATTACTTTTTTTTCTCCATCTCATTATCAATTACTTTTCTTTTCTCATATTTTGGTTGACGCTGTTTACGGCGCTCTTGTGTAATCTTAGAACCTCCTCGTTTCATTAGGAGCTCATGAGGAATGGGCATTTGTCCCCGATAGTCTACTCCTGGTCCTGCTTTCATTTTCATTCTATTGTCGAATTTAAACTTTTTTTCGCTTGGCAAGTATTCGATTATATATTTCCTGTAGTGGAGATCTCTGCAAAGAGTTTTTATGTATTTGGGAAATGGTACGTTATTAGGATGCGTATACATCTGGCGAATGCACTACGAATGTGATGCTTGCGGATCGTGAGCAGCTCGTAAGCTGCGCATTCACGGAGCATTCGCTATATGTGGACGCACCCTAATAGTAAGTAGAAATGCATGAAACAATAGGTTGAATGACTGTGATGGATCGGATGGCGTTCTGAACATTTATTATGAGTTTGTTTTCCGTTTGACGTTTAAAGTCGTATTAATCCCGCTGGATTATGCTAGCTAAAGAGGAGGCGGAACGCGTGAGGGAACAAACCTCCTTACGCCCCAGCCATCGCGGAAGACACTCCAGCCGTCGGAGATCGCGAGACGATCTCAGGCCACCGTAAGTGCGGGTCTGCGGACGGTGAGCAAAGTTAGCTCGCCACCCGACCAGAACCAGATCCGTGCGTACAGTTCGTCGCGTTCTGCGCGCGCCTCAAAGAGCCATCAGATCACCACAGATGGGGCCCAGTAGGGCCGATGGGTGGAAGGTCTAACGGGTTGCCGGGGCTCCGGCTCGAAGAGTAGGAGTAGGAACGGGGTGGTTTTTATTCAGTAAGAGTCTGACACTCCCTTTCGCCTAACTCAAGGCGGGAGAAGTCATTGGATGATATTCAACAAACAAGAAAAGCCCGCTGTATTGCGTTGCCGACTATGTTGAATTCGTAACATGTTTTACCTTATATCTGGAAAATGGAAGGGTTCATAATCCCTGGTCTCCAAGTTTTGCTTGTACTTAGTCCAACAACATTTCAGTTTTTCATTTTTGTCCAAAGATAAGTGTTTAATTCTCGCTTTTTCAAAACAACTCTTCTCGAAGAGCGGCAGCACTCTGAAATTTGTTTCTATGTCCTTCAAGTCCTCTGTTCATTGGAAAAATAATAAATAATTTTTATGCAACACGTAGGGTAGCTGCTATTGAGTCTATCGTGCAGTCAAAATATAAATTGTTTGTTTTACCCGCTACTCGGTTTCATTTACATCGTATACGAAAAAAATGAAAAACAAAAAGGATTTTCCAAATCGGACTAGTAGTTCCCGAGATGAGCGGGCTTAAAAAAACAATCTCGATTTATGTACTATAGATAAATAAATATATTAGTACTAGCATCACATCATACATCTGTATACTTCAGGGAATACAACACAAAGTTTAAAGTGCACTTTAAACTGTCAAACACCAAGCGGTCACCGGTGACCGCAACCTATTGTTGTATAATTGTGTCTATAATGACGGTACTCGACGAGTTAATTAGCAATAAAATATAATATTAATCTTGGTATAAATGGCAAGCAATTTGGTTTAACCGCTTGAATGCACCGATATGAGATACAATAGAAAATACATTGTATCTCGCGTGGATCCACGTTCAGATACACGACGGGTTAAGGATTAACGGCGCTTTTTCAGTTTGGTAATAGAAAAAAATAATCAAAATCTTATAGAAAAAGTAAAGTTGTAACGATTGTATAAAACGTACCTGCACTTGGCTTAATAATTAAAGGTGGTTTAGTTTTGTCACTGCATGCATTGAATATTAATCTCGCCATTGTAGTAGCAAAATAAATTCAATTACAAAATTAAATAATATTTTATAAAAACCCGACAGCTTGATTAGAACACCTTGACGTGCAAACCTAAATTTAAAAAAGTGAATGTCAAAAACTGACATAGATAATCATCAATAAACCAGAGAAGTTACAAGTTCGTTGCCGACTTCGTTAGACGGAGGCTTTTTTTATACTTGCTTTCGAAACAATTGCTGAGCCTGTACCAAGCACAGGGTCGGACCTGTATGGAGTACTGTTCTCATCATTGGAACGGCTCGGCAAAATATCAGCTGGGCACCCGCCCGAGAGCACATTGGTAATGTCACCGATTCATGACCCACATGCACGAAGCGCTTCGCATCAAGTTTTCTTTTGCGTCCTGCTAACGAGTGGAATTCTTTGCCAGAGTCTGTTTCTGAAGGGTCCTGGGTCCTGAATCTCCTCAAGGCCCGAGTAAATAGGTTGCTTATGGGACGACGTGTTCCATCGTAGACCACGTCATCGCTTACCACCAGGCGAGATGTAGGTCAAATGTCGGCCCATTAAATATAAAATAAATCAGTTGAGACATGGCTCCTACACGTAACATAAAAGTAAAACGAGCAAGAACCACAACTGCTAGCAAAGAGCCATGAGATCGTCATCATTAGCTCGTGACAATCCATTCTTGTGCTATGCTTCTGCGATACATTTATTTATTTCAACTTCATACAACATGTGTGTACAGGTAGATTTAATGCCTTGCTTGGGTATTGTCTCCCAGTCAACCTTTAAGCAGTGCAGAGATGACAGTAGCAGGTGATTTACTTAAACCTTTATAAATAGGCAATGTACCAGTATAATAAATAACAAATCTCACAATCATAATATTCAATAAACACTATACATATAGGTCTATTTAAAAACTTATACATACTTACATATAACTAATAATTATGTATACAATATTAAAGTAAATATATAAATAATAAATATATATAGAATTATATTGTCATTTACATACATGGTTTCAGGGTTTAAAGGGGCCAAACTTGGCCCCTTTAAACCCTGCAGACAGGAATTGCCGCTGCCTGTTCTCCATCAAATAAGTACCGAGTAGTACTAGGTCCTACAAAGAGACTAAAAGTAGTTAGTCTAGCTCTAAATTAAATTCTTCTTGTACCGCTCACAGAAAAAAATATATTTTAAAAATGTATCTGTCAGTCTTATTTCTCCGAAGTGGTTTTACGTTCTTTGCGTGTTTTTTTTTAATATCGTATTAACTTTGTAATAAATTATTATTTCGTTGTATTTATTTTGATAAGTAATTTAATTTGTAATCAGTTTTTTTGCTAACAATGGAAACGAAACATTTTTCGCCTCATTATCCTGAATGTGATCATATTGTACGCAAATATGTAAAAGTGGAAATTAACGATGGTATGTGTCGATTTATACACATAGCGCCACGCCTTCAATTCCCTGTAAAAACCTGTTGCCGGTTGGCAAAGATTATCTACTATAGAACATTGGCAGGGAATTGTTCTGATCTACTTACTATGTAATATCTATGTGTCCTTGGTCTTATGGTTTTATGGGTCTCATGTATTTTTGACCTCTATTTTGTCGCTTATTGTCATAACAGCCGGGAAATGACAAAAGTCAGACCCGAGCGTATGGCGCGTCGCTTTCCTAGCGCACTTCAAGGAGCCATCAGACCACCACAGATGGGGCCCAGCCCAATAGGACTGATGCCGATATGTAGTCGCGGATGACTTAACGGGTTACTGGGGCTTCGAATCGAAGTGCAGGAGTAGGAACAGGGTGGTTTTTCGTCAATAAGAGTCTGATGCTCCCTCTCATCTTACTAGGCGGGAGAAGCCATTGAACGATTTTTACCCTTAAAAACCCTTCTTTGATTACAGATTTAGCAAAAGAGCTAGCGTTAGAGGATAACCCAGTATATCCTCTATACGAGAAAAGGTTAAGTGATTATGAACGCATGAAAAATAACTCGTTGCAAAGGAATGAACTACTGCAATGTCAGTGGAAATGTTTCGTCAGAAATATTGATAAGAGAAAGAAACAACCTTTTATATTTCCAAATCTAAGGTATGTAGTCCTAGACAGATTATACCTAGAGAGCGCCCGATACAATCATTTGTTTCTTTTGGCTAAAGCATCGCATAGAGACCCCCTAATTTCTTTTGGTTTCGCTGCCAATTTATAATCAGTTGGGCACGCAAGTCTCGCGGCACCTCTTTGTAACATGGCGCCATAAGCAATTGTCTAATTTGCCTTACGCATAATAAGACACTGTACATAGTGTCATTTGCAGTTAAGTTTCCATGTCATGCTTTTTAGTTATTTTTTATTTCAGGGATTTTCACTTCGTAAATTGTCATTTGCAATACAAGCCAAATGAAACAATTAGTAATCGATTATCTTATCGATTTCAAATGAACGAGGGTCCAGGAGTGGACACTTATGGCCAGATTCCCATTCCACATGATACCTCTCTGACTTCTTCGAATAAAACTAAACGTGAAAAAAAAATTGCGAACTTGCCTACTACAAAAAAGTAAAAGTTGTGTCCTTGGTTGGTTACTAAGCGCAAGGACGTTGAAAAAAGAACTAAGCGAAGTTTTATGCGCTAGTTCAAGGCATTGATTGTCCTCTAGCAAGTTAAATTATGTAAAAAGGAATAAATTGATTATCACATATAAAAACGTAATTTTTGTTCTTGTTTATTCGTGTGATAGGTACCAACAAATGTTACTGGGTTTCCGCTAAATAGAAAAACTAAACGTTACATATCAATAACAGCATTGACAGCCAACTGTCAAGTATCAAATTTGTCAGTGACAGCGATGATTTTCTGTCTCATTTTTATGAACAAGTATTTGTATAAATGTGTCTCTTTCTCATGCTTTTAATATGATAAGCTGCCCATAGCGAAACGTTAGAAAGAAAAGTAAATAAAGAGTGAAAAGGTCTCAATGTTATTGTATTTAAATTAAGTAAAATTAAAATCATGAAAGAAAATCATTTTTGTAGATGTTGTTTATCAGAAGAATGCTACAAAGATATGGCTAACGATTATTATTTCGGAAATAGAACTGAAAATTATAACGAAATGTTGATGAATGTTTTTAATATTGATGTAAGTATAAATTAATATGTAACTTGCATTGCTTACGTATTTATTTACACGATGACGGTGTTTTTTAATACCTACCTTTGGCCATTACAATAATAATGGAAATACCGAGTATTTTCTAAAAACTTCATTTATGGGATAAGTCAGCAAACGAGCAGACAGACGGATCACCCGATGGAAACCAATCGGCGTCGCAGAAATACCCAGAGTTACAAATGCGTTGCACAATTTTTATTTTTGCTAAAAAACTTATTAGTACTCAAATTAAATTAACATTATTTTTTTTTATATATAACTTATAAGTGATGTATATGCCATGCAGATAATTTTAAGGTATAATCATGAAACATAATTATGGTATAAGGTAAATATTGTTAACTGGTCAATCCAAACAGTCACCGGTGACTAGGTATTCTCCACTTGCATTACACCATTATATATGTTATTTGCAATTGGGATGATGACAGGGTATGAAAGTTAAAAAAAGAATTCGTCCGTAAGTTAGGTAATGAAAAAATATTAGACACATATTTTTTATTTTGTCGTATAAAGGAGGCCATACACGCTAGGTTTTGCATGATGGTTTTAGCCATGCATGCATAACCGACAGGCAAGCCCTAGCATGTATGTAATTAAACCTTACAATTATTTACTGTTCAGTTACAGTACTTAACTGTAGAATAAAATTGACATTTGATAGTTTTAGTATGGAACAATTGTCAAATATTCAAAGTTTTTTCTCAGTTAAGATTTATCTGGCGTTGGAAAAATTGGCCGTAAATCTGAAATTGTCAAAGAACCAAACTTACACACATAGATGGGGCCCAATAGGGCCGATGCCGATTCGGAGTCACGGAGAACCTAACGGGTAACCGGGGCTCCGGCTCGACGTGCAGGAGAAGAAACGGGGTGGTTTTTAGTCAGTAAGAATCTGACACTCCCTCCCGCCTCACTCAGGCGGGAGCAGTCATTCGATGAATATCCCCCCTTAAAAAAAAAATAAACCCATAACCAATCAAACACAACCAATTTGCCATGGCCAGAAAGTGCACATATAAGTTTTGTCCGATCGATTTCTAGAGGGAAATAACACAATTGTTTTTGTAATCGATTGGAAATCCCATTTGAAGGACAAAAAAATTCAAAAAATTTGCAGTCATTTTTATACAGGCGCACTGACGAAATATAAAAATGATTCTTTCTTCAGATTATCCCTGACAACTGTAAAAGAAATCTTATCTGCGAGGAGTGTGTCTCCAAGCTCCGAGAAGCTGCAGCATTTAAGAGGAAGGTGCTAGGTATACAGGAGGCAATGAGGAGCAGCATCGGTTGGGAACGTGTGGCCATGGAATTAGGTAAGTAAAATAAAAATAAAATCCTCCCCATCAATTGCAATCATGGTGGCAAGTCTAACTACATTACCCAACTACATGTGAGTACGCAGGAGATATTACAGTGCACAAGTTTATGCTCAAACACGAGTGCACTCTCTGTTCCCTCACTCTCTGAACCCGATGGGATAGCCGACCGACACGACAAGAGAGAGGAGTCACGTGCAAAACCATCGAATTTATGTATTTTCCGAGGCACTCATTGTCTCGAGAAACATCGTCGAACTTTCTCGCTCCGGGCCAATAATAGTCACGTTACCCATAATATACCATTATTTTTCGCTATTTGCCCAATGCGGGAATCGAACTCGTGACAGCCACTGGGTCAATGTCTATGTCACTATTGACGCCCAACAGGGACTAATAATGCATTTGGATTCTCAATAATCTTACTTATACATATTATAAAGTAACCACTACCCGCGACTTCGCCCGCGTGGAATATGAGTTTTAGGACATGACTTTTTTCT